ACCGACCCTCTTAACATTCAGTGGATCGTCGTAGAGATACCACAGCAAAAAGAAGGATCACTGTAACAAAAATCTTCTTTCTTTATTTACATTTAACCCTTTTTTTCTGATGGTTTGGTAAATATTGACATTTTTTATCTTTGCAGTGATTGTGGTGTATTTGTTGCTGCCTTTGCAGAGTATGTTAGTCTTGGAGAGTTATCAATTCCGGCAGAAGACCTTTCTGATATTGACCAACACCGTAGACGCTATGGAGCGCTACTTTGGGACTATGCTAGAAAGAAGCAGGAGCATGGGGCAATTAGTGAAAGTGAGGTGACAGACAAATTGGCAAGGAGAAAAGGTGCACCAGCTTTGAATGAGAAAACACGAGTCCAGAGGAAGAAGAAGTAGTTGTAATGTTTTGTATGGAACATGTAGTACAATTGTTTAGTTGGTGCTAGTTTAGAAGAAAGATGTTAGATAAGTTTTTGAACAAATTTTGTTGTTCTAATTGTAGCAGACTTGCGCTATAATTATAGTAGCCTTTGTTTTTTTTTCTTATCCAGTATAGTAGTTCAAATGGAAACGTTCTGTTGGTTTTATATTCACTTGTTGAATCTTTACAGTACTTGATCTTCATTATTTTTAGCATATAAATCCTTTCCAACTGAATTTTTATACAGTTATTCTGTCAACGCAAAAATATGTAGTTATTTTGTTATTTTTTTGTAGATAAAGTATAAAAATCAGTAACTAAACATTTTGTTGCTTTTACATTCAATTTGTTGAATGTATAAAGTACCTGATCTACATTATTTTTAGCATATAGCTTCTTTCTAGCTGAATTATAATCTAGCTATTATGTCAGCTACAGCTACTGTAGTTTTATTGTTGATAAATTGCAAAAACACATTAACAACTGTGTAAAGGATTCCAGAGATAGTAAAAAAGTGGTAGATTATATATATAGAAACCATTCATAAACAAATCACTCTATGAAAGTATTATCTCAATACAGAAAAATCCTAACTAACTACATTATGATCTTAAACAACCTCAACAATTACACATCAAAATCTGTTATCCTTAACTCGCCAACAATTTTTATGAAATATTCTGTTAACTACATAAAATTTTATTTCTTTTTGGGTGCATTCCTGCAAGATCTTTTGTTATGCCCTTCTCCTCCGCAGTTGCCACATGAAACCTTGTACTTCTTTGAATTTATTTCATCATATGTTTTATATCTTTCTTTTTGAGGTCTTCCTGGCTGCTTTTTCCCTCTTGTAGGTGGATTTACTACTTCTTCAGATATATGTTGTGGCACATTCCATTTGCTTTCATCAGGCAGGGGATTTACCGGTATTTCACAAGTACGCAAGAGGTTCGCCCTTGTGTAATAAGGAGAATAATATTGTTCAAAAGACTCATCCCTATGTCTTAAAGCAGCCAAAGCATGTGGACAAGGAAGTTCGTCAAGCTGGAATTGCCCACAACTACATCTCTTGTTTTCAAGACAAACAATATAGCGCCTCATACCATCTAGTACTGTATGGATGTAGTCTGTTGAAGCACTCACCTACGATGACATTACAAACAAAAAAAACAATTCATATACGTTAAACTCAAGCTATATACAACATATCTACAAAATATCTACAAGATATCTACATTGTCCTGTATAAATTAATTTGATTCAATAAATGATCAGATCTTACTCTAAGCTTGTGCGACAATGTTCTATTGTTATCCAACTCTTTGTTAAATTTGAACCCAAGGTATGTGAATGTATCCTTTGCTTTTAATAACTTTTCCTTCGTCCAACATTCAAGAAGGGTCCTTATATACTATAATAGTTCTACTATCGGCAGCTCTCTTGCATATTTTGTTATAGCATTCAACTCTGCAATGTTTGATGTCATAGTCCAAGTTCTGTTCAGCGTAGCATGTACTCGAGACCATCTATGATAGCCAATATCGTATAAGTATGCTTTAACACGGGGGTCAATCTCTTCAATCTTTGACATCCTTTCATTAAATTCATCCAGCGTGTATGACCGTGTTGTGGCAAAGTATAATTCACTTAACTTTAGATGTCCCTTCTTGAACTTTGCCCGTATATTTGTCCAAATATGCCACATGCAAGAATAATGTGGCATGCCGGGATAAACAATAGATGTTGCCTTCAAGATACTCTCATTCCGATCCGAAACAACACACATATTTGGTCTTTCACCATATGCATGTTTGAATTGCTCAAAAAACCACTTCCATGATGCGTCATTTTCTGAATCAACAACAGCATATGCAAATGGCAATATGGTACCTACATTATGTGGCAAAAAGCAATTAATTGGTTGTAGGAAAAATGCAGAAGAAGACATATACATACAAACTACAATTATTCTACAATATATCTACAATAAATCTGCAAGTACTACAAAAAACATACAAGCTACAATATTTCTACAATAAAACTTCAATACCTGCTGCATCCATTGTACTAGTTGTTAGCATTATTCCCCTGTATGCTGACTTTAAGAAGGTCCCATCAACTACTACAACTGGCCTACAATATTCCCAACCACTGATTGACATACAAGTCGCAACAAATACATACAAGAAGCAGTCATCGTCCGTCTTCTTCAATTTAACTACAGAACCCGGATAAATCTTCTCTAGAATATACAAATAACTACAATTTGCTGTAGGAGTCAGCAGGATGACCTCTCAAAAACTGTAAAGCCTTTTCCTTTGCTCTCCAAGCTTGCATGTAGGTTAGATTCACGCCGTGTTCAGACAACATGTCAAATTGTATGTCTTTTGGTGTGTAAATTGTTTTAGGATCAGAATATTTTGGAATAACCATGCCACCAACAACCATGGCAGTAGGTTTGTGTTGTATGAATGTATTGTCCATTAAAGAGCATGTGTGCTGGCTGTTGAAATTTCTGACCTTGAACATTGCAGAATCATTTATGCTAGTTGCCTTGAAGTGCCATGTACAGTTTTCACCAACACATATCAGCCAGTAGCTACAAAATAAATACAATTTAAACACTGGTTTAAAATGTAGATTTTAAAAAGAAAAAAAAACTGTTTTAGCTTAAACGATCACATTATACAATCTATATACAACATAACTACAATTCATCTACAATACTGATAAACATTATCACAAGAAAAAACTGAAGAAGTAAAAAATTACAAATAAACTACAAAATTAAAAAATTAATGATATTTGACCATTCATATGTTCATACCTTCTAGCACTAGATCTTTTAACCCTGAATTGGAACTTATGCATGACAGAATAGTGCTTCATGGCAGTTGCAGCTGTTTCCTTGTCTTGGTATACTTGTCCTACTTCAATAGAACTTGGTGTACTATCTGTTATTATTAGACTTTCATATTCCTCTATAACGGGAGATGTTAGCACATCAACTAAATTTAGTGTTCCAGACGAACCTGCATGAAAATAAATATAAATACTGTTATGAACAGTTTGTAGAAATTTTGTAGATAATTTGTAGAAATATTGAAATTCTGTATTTCATATTAATTTTCAAATGATATGTAGTTTATTGTAGAATAAATGTAGATATTTTGTAGATATTATGAAAATCCATACCGATATATATTTTACTCTGACATGTAGTTTATTTGTAGATAAAATGTAGATAACGTGTAGTACATTGACATACAACCAAATTTTGATAGAAAAATTAACATCACAAACCTGCAGCTGTGTTCTCATTGGTGATACTCAATTCCATATTGAAATCGCGAATAGTTATACATAACGGATATGATCCTAAGTTTTTGTTTTCCTTTTTCGTCTCCATGTATACACGAACACCCATATCGTTCCTAATTTCCATTGGAGGACAATGCTCGTTGACAATGTATTTGATTTCTATAATTTTTTCGGATGTATCGATCATTAATTGTTGTGCTATTGTGGAAATCAATAGACTATAACTCGCATCCTCATCGACTACAATGCCATCGACCTGAAATTCTCTAAATCTCCCATAGTTATCCCAATTCCCATTCAATTGTAGCATAATTGGAATTTTGGACGTAATTGCGTTTGTTTTAGAAGAATTGTAGAAGATTTAGTCGTTTTTGATTTGTGAAATCAGAAAAAAGTTGAAACACAGTGTATCGCAAAAACAGAGACGCTAAATTTCAAACGAAAACAGACGATATTTATTAATGTGCGTGATTTGCGTTGTGGAAGATCTGGAAGAATATTTAATTCCCCAATTTTAGCGCACCTAAATAAGGAAGCCTACGGCTACTATGATTCCTTATTTAATGAATTGTCTATATTTTGTAGAAATACTATTAGCATGAAGGGTAATATGCAAACTATGAACATATTTGGTAATATAGTTTCCTATATGGTATAAGAACGAAAATTTCCCTGATATGAATATCCATATTATCCATGACTTCTTGAATATTATCACCTTTGGAAGAATTCTTAGTCTCCCAAACTTGAGGAGCCCCAAATTTGAGTCTTTACAAATGTGTAAGTTAAACATATTAGTTTTCCAGTTTCTAAGTGGATAATATGGTTCTTATCTATATTTGATCCGTTTTTAAAAAATTCATTATCAAACCCATTTTTTAATTGATAATATGGATGGATAACTATTTTTTTATCCATTTTGCTACCACTACCGCCAACTATCACTTCTAGCTTTAAACTCTTTTTTATTTATTTATAAATAGGTTTTAAAAAGAACGACAACAGTTTAATATTTAAAAATAATTCAATGACATGTTTTTATATCAATATAAATGTTTTTTTTTGGTAATAATATCAATATTGATGTTATGGCAATGTTTAATACTATAAATTCCAAAATTCCTTTCTATATCAAGAAAAACCAGAAGTGTTTGGTGCAGCACTTGCATTTTGGTATATAGAAGAATTACTTTTTTAGAAATCTTATATCTATTTAACTTTTTAAAAAAGATTAATTACACACACGGATGCGAAGAAAACACACTCTAAAATTCACCAATATTCACATTTAAAAGCAATATCTAAAACATTATGGCCATTGGCGAAACATCTCAGATGTCGTAGTATTCAAATCAGATGTCATAATATTCTTTGTTTCTAAAAAAGGGGGAAAGAAACATACAGCCCCTAAGACTTATTATGGCCATTGGCGAAGCATCTCATTGGCACTAGCACTGGAAGTCAGAGGAGGCTCCCTAAGACATTCAACGTGAGTACCTAATTAAAAGATGTGACATAGAAACAATGACAAATACTTGAAAAGAACAAAATTTGAGAATGTCCCGAGAATTTACAGGTTGCACATTTCCCTTGGCAGCTTCCTATCCTATATATTCCAACAAAGTATAAATGCTTCTGGTTTTCCTGCCAAGGAGAACACATATAATATATATGGCATCCAATGATGAGTGCAATATCAGACTGCATGGGACATTAAAGCCTTGCACTGCATCCTCAGACCGTTGGTTATCTCGTCAAATTAAATCAGTCGATTTCCAGCACAACTTTGCCAGGAATTTGTCGCCTTTCCTTCGCCTCGTGTGCCTCTCTGGCCTGCGAAAGTGGAAAAGTTTTATCTACTGGGATTCTTAGCTTCCCAGCCTCAGATAACCGACGGATCTCATGTAAACCCTCAGCATCAGCCCTCATATAATTCCACCAATATTCTGTACCATGATAACAAAAGAAATGCATTACTTAAAGCACCTAAACAGAGCTCTAAAAGTACAGAAATGACAGCTTTTGACCCCTTAGTCAAGCTTTCCAAGAGTTTAAAATTACCACAAAACAGGAAGAAATAATAGCAAGCCACAAAATTTAAACCCTCGGGTGAACAAAGCAAAGAAAGACATTTCCCTCTCTTCGACTGACCCAACTGAAGGAGAAGTGAGTATAGGATCTCATAGTGTTCACTATCAGCCCTCTGTGCTCTTAAAACGCAGTCTGCTACAAAAGGAATCAAGTTTCTACCAAAGTTTGAAAACCATGAACTGAGAGTTACATCGGATGTACTTTATCCTTAGTAGCCTAACATTATAGAAAGATCAATAATCTTGAATCACATAAAGCTGATCAAGGTTAGTCCAAACTGAAACAGCCTACCCAGCAGATCATTTGAACTGAATCTAGATTAGATTATGGTTTAACCCAGATTATCTCCTCTCAAGAAGTCTAGATATGAGAATTATCAATCATAGTCAACAGGAATCACATAAGAGGTCTGTGCACGAGGATCCTCTCACCTGTGTTATTCCCTACTGATATGTGAGCATTAAGCATAATGATGAATGAAGCAGCGGGAAAATGGATATATGAAGGGATTCATAGCTAGGAGGGAGAAATATGATAGTTTAAACTGTAAAGGTGTCTCATTTGCTCTTCGAAGAAGATACACTTGCATTGTGCAATGCCGAGACAACTTAACTTCAACCTAAAACATACACCTCTATGGTTTAAGCAGTTTCGAGGTTGAAAATAAGCTAGACAAGTGACATCCTATAAATGGAATGGTTGGCAACTGTTCTCAGCTTCGAAGCTGATCTCTCTCTCTCTCTCTCTCTCTCTCTCTCTCTCTCTCTCTCTCTCTCTTTATTTTTTTTTTTTTTTTGAGAAGGTAATATATTATATATAAAAATTGGACTACATAAAAGCAGCATAATCCTAGCAGCTTCAAAGCTGGTCTCTTTTAGGATTACCTTTATGCGCGACATGCAAGAATATAACAACGTAGAATCAGGTAAACGAAAAATTGAGAAGAGATAGTTATCCAGCGGGAAGAAACTACTACACCTACTTTGTTAACATTCCAACAGACTACATGTCTCTACTAGCTCTGTCAGCATAAGTGACATAGAAATGGGAGAAGTTACAGAGAAACTTTGTTTGTGGTACATGGGGAGGTGACGAGGTACCACCAATTAATTGGAATAAGGTCAGATCACCTAGAAGGGATGGGGATCTCCGGAGGGAGTTGAGAATTATTAACAGAGCTCTACTAACAAAGTTGATAACCTGATATGGAGGTTTGGAGTAGATGACCAACCCTTGTGTAGGAGAATGATTGTCGACAAATACGATGCTCAAAGGGGTGAATAGAGAACAAATAAGATAAAGCAACCATATGGAGTAGCATTTTTTTTGTGCCCAAACTTAGCTTGCATGCACCTTAACTAATCCCGCCAGGTACCTGCTCCCAAGTCCCACCAAAACAGGCAACTCTTCCCACCAAGGCTCAAGCATATGGGAAGACATCACTTAATCACCTAGTATTTTTTGCCTCCGCAAGAATTTGAACCTGCTTGCATGGACCTCGACTAATTCCACTAGGTACCTACTACTTCCCACCAATACAGTTACCAAGTAACTCTTCCCACCAAGGCTCGGGCATAGGAGAAGAAATCACCTAGTGTTTTTGTTATCTCTTTAGAATTTGAACCTGCAGCCTCATGGTTCTCCTCCCACCTCATTGACCACTAGGCCACACCCTTGGATGCCCTAGATGGAGTAGCATTAGGGGAAAATATAACGGAAGTATGGGATAGGATTTGCAGAAAAGTTCATTTATAGCAAGAAATGGAGCTAATATTAGCTTCTGGAAGCAAAATCGTTGCAGTGACGCTTGCTTATAAGAAAGTTTGCAAAGAGAAAAAAGGCACAATTTCAAGGGATTTGAGTTCACGAAATCCTGCAAGGTCGAGAAATGGAAGTGCTCAATAAATTGTAGGAGCTACTATATAAGAAAAAAACCTCCATCATAGATAGTGATAGCTAGAGATGGAAGCTCATATGGACAGTGCTGTTCCAGTTAAATCTTTCTACAAATGTTATTGGGAGAGGAAATTTGGAACTTCCTCACAGGGCTTCTCATGCCTCAATATGGGTTCTTAGAGCACCAAGCATGATGTATTTTATTTGCACAGCAGCATAAGGGCCCATTATTACAGCTGGGAACTAGAAGAAAGCAAAAATTACTTTTACTAGCTGGCGTTTCATGAACAAGAATGCGGCAGAGGATGTAAATTACTTATTGCCCCACTGCCCAACAGCATACATGGTGTACAATTTAGAATATATCCAAAGTTGAATGGATAATGCTACGTAAAGTTAGAAATTTGCTACTCCGATGGAACGAAAAGACAGAAACAAAACATGGAAGGTGCTTATGCAAACAACGCGGAAGAGAAAAATACAAGAGCATTTGAAGGACTGAGAACTCTTCTGTAGATGTTAGTGGAGATTTTTTATTCTTTGTACATTCTTGAGTACATATGATATTCCAATTAATTTTAATTATTGACTGGATTTTTTTACAAAACCATGGCAGCATGTAGGATGACTTGTTACCTGTATACACCTTGCATGGAGGGTCAGTTTCCCAATTTATCAACCAAAATTCATAAATATAACTATCAAATTAAGATTTATGCTTTGGACCAAAATCGCCGGAACAAATGTGTATAGAAACTTTGTCCTAAACTACCTAGATGTTATTCCTTCAAGAAAATCTTTGTGTATTGTTAAGTAGTAGTGTCCCACATCGGGAAGTAGATACCTATTATTATGTAATCACTGTATATAAATAGGGTTGTACAACACAATTTTTCTCCCGTGCATTCTCACATTGTATCAGAGCATTAGTGAGAAATTTATCGTTGTGCATCATTCCAGCGACTTTCGGGAAGAAAGACCTCCTCGTCGTGCAATTTTCCGGCGACTTAGGAGGTTGTCCTTAAGAAAATCCTTTTCCCTTGGTGTTGTGCAAAATCCAACACCACCCCAAGGTCCCTAAGACAGAGGCGACCAAACCCCAGAAAAAATCTCCGGAAAAGGACCCTCCACGCGCACTCACGAGCCGGTCAGAGAAGGGTTTCCGCCGGCGCGTCTGTCCCACGCGCCGGCGCATGTACCTGTTTCCGGCCATTTTTTGGCTGACCTTCTTTAGGACAGCCTGACTGTGAAGCTTTAGACGCGCCGGCGCGTGTACTTGTTTCCGACCATTTTTTGGCTGACCTTCTTCAGGACAGCTTGACCGTGAGGCTTTTCCGAGCCTACCCATCAAGGTTACATCAGATTCTGACGACTTTTTTATTTTCCGGCGAGCTACAGTGTCCCGGCCATTTTTTTGGAAAAGTTTCTTCAAGAAAGCCTTATCTTCTAGTAATTCCGACCAAGCCCATACTGTTTTCTTTTTGTTCCGAGCACTTTGAGATTTTTCCAGCATGAACAGTGAGTTTTCCAGCATAAACAGTAATTCCCAGAAAATATCTGCTTTTTCCGGTACAATATTATAATGGCATTCGTATCAAAAGCCTTTAACTCACAATCCGTTGGATCCAATGCATTGCATCCAATCCAGATGGTTTCTTTACCGGATTATATTGAGTTCCTTCAGTACAAAGTATGTAAACATACATCTTCGAGGATAGATTCCGTTGTTCAAACAGATAGTAGCGTGACTTGTGTCTCCTAATCTTCAACCCTTGAGTCTTGGGTCATTGATTCTGGTGCATCTGATCATATTTCAGGTAACAAATCTCGTTCACTAGTATTTCGTATTCTCAATCTCTTCCAACAGTCACAATGGCCAATAGGTCTCAAAACATGACAACTGCAATAGGTCAAGCAAGCCCACTTCCTTCCTTACCTTTAGATTCAGTTCTTTATGTTCACAATAGTCCTTTTAATCTCATAGCCGTTAGTCGCTTAGCCAAATCACTTAAATGCGATGTTCTATTTCTTGATGACCTTGTTTTTATACAGGAACGCAGTACGGGGCAGATCATTGGTCCCGAGCGTGAATCAGATAGACTTTATTACCTTATCCTTGCAAAATCACATGGACTCACATCTTGTGTTCCTTCAATAACTTGTCTTGTTACCGATTCACCAGATTTATTACATAAACGGTTGGGACATCCCAATTAGTCAAAACTTCAGAAAATGGTACCTGGTTTATCTCACTTGTCCACTCTAGAGTGTGAGTCATGTCAGCTCGGTAAGCATACCCGCTCCCATTTCCCTCGGCGTCTTGATAATCGAGCAAAGTCACCTTTTACTTTAGTCCATTCAGATGTTTGGGGTCCTAGTCGGGTCAGTTCTACCTTGGGATTCCGCTACTTTGTCAGTTTCATTTATGGTTATTCAAGGTGCACTTGGATATTTTTGATGAAAAATCGATCTGAGTTGTTTTCTATTTTCCAGACCTTCCGCGCTGAAACTCAAAATCAATTTGGGGTTTCAATCCGCACATTTCGTAGTGATAATGCTCTAGAGTATTTGTCTTCCCCATTTCAGCAGTTTATGAACTCTCATGGGATTATTCATCAAACATCTTGTCCGTACACATCTCAACAAAATGGGGTAGCTGAAAGAAAGAATAAACATCTAATTGAAACTGCTCATACCTTACTCATACAATCTCATGCTCTATTGCGTTTTTTTTTTTGTTGTGTGTGGGGGGGGGGGGGGGGGTAGGGGGATGGCGAGTTCGTTACGATCG